AGGGTATGGAAAAATTTTGGTTAGGACTTAGGAGTGCTACCCCTGAATGGGCCCTGCAGTGCGCGATTAGAATTTAGTCAAAGCTCCAATATGAGCTCCGAATATCGGGTGAGAAATAAAAATTATAAAACTTAGAACAGGGATAATGATAACAGATTCTTTATGACAAAAATCTTTTCACGAAGGAGTGATCATTACGTATTAAGTTCCTTTCACAATTAAAGTTTTCTTTAATGGTTGATAATATAAAAAAACTTGTATTTTGATCTGCTTGATTAAAAAAGTTAAAGATTTAGAAAAATGATCATTAATAGTGATTAGATGCTACCAGCCACCATTTAACTTGGGCTCAAGTGAGGATAATTTACTTTGAGATTTTGATGAATGTAGAAATTAATTTGACAATCAAGTCTCCAAAAAGGATTTAGAGTAATATTCTCTTAATTGAGTCGAGAGGTTTTATAAGACATAAATCCGCCAGTTTTGCATAATGAATATATCTGAATTAATTGATAGTAAAATATTATTGACTTTCGATATTTAAAAACGATAAAATCTAATTCATCTGTTTTATTATAAAATTTAAGTAATAAAAAATTGTTAGTAAATTGTCATAAAATCCCTCAATTTTTTCAATAAAAGATATCGATTTGAATCTCAACATCAAATTATAAAAAAATTGTAACACACTTTTTGTGAAATTCGACCTCAGCTCATTGACGAGAGATTGAATTTGAATGTTGGTGCACATAAAATATTTCTAATAAGTTCATCTCTTTTTAAGCAATTGACTAATTCCCACTAGTGACATCTTGGTAGAATTTCCTATTTGCATTTATACTAATCCTGCATTATCTACTTTTATTTGTCAAATTTCATTATCAAGTGTTGTATGATTCAACAAATATAAAATTTGATTATATTGATCTGGTCATGTGAAGAATTATTGCCTTGCATATGATCGACTGATTGAGATATGTTACTAATTAATCACCCTAATTTATATCTATAATTTTATAACAATTATTCTTGTATGACCCTTCATGAGACACAACTCTCATTGCATCAATTTAAAAATAATCATCTCTAACTTGTCACTTCGTTAGAAGTGAGTAGATTTTTTTAATTTGTTTTAATTTTTGATATTTCATATTTATATTGAAATTCGATTATTTTGAATTCATGATGCGTAATGCGTTGTTTGAGGAAAAATGTTTTTTACTAAAATAATTTCTATATACAGATCTCGAACTTGAAACGTCTGATTTAGAGAGGAGCAATTTTGTGAATATTCATCGGTTGTAGTAGAAAATTTATGTTGCTTATGCACTCCGCCTTTAGTAATAAATAATATAGTTGGATCTACATTATTTTTCAATACTCTCTTTTAATTCAAAAAACTGGTCCCCTATATTTTCAATGGAGCTCTTTAATATAAACCATTTTTTCTATTGGGATATTTTTGTCCAACTAGCCACCGATGTAAAGGACTTTTGGCTATCCTTTGATTTCATTTGCTAGCATATGATAGAAAACTTTGAAATCCATTGTGATTCTTTTCTTGTATCGGTCGGTTTGATTCAATTTTAAATTTTATTAATTTAATTTATTAGTTATCGATTTTTAAATATATTATATTGTTATATAACCATTAAAAAAATTAGCTTATTAGCCATGTAAATAAGTTTATAAATTGCATCTTTTCTCAAAAGCAAACACTTTATATTGTAGAATAAGTTAAGAATTTTATATACAAAATACTATATATATATATATATATATTTATTATCGGTTATTAAGAAAAAAATAATAAACCGTTAAGAAACCACAATCCAATAAAAAAAGAAGAAGCAAAACCGTTATAAAATCAGCTAAATCAATGACCCATATAGATAAAATAACTATTTTTTAGTTCAAATTATTAATTTCACTTTCGATTTTGATCCACCTTAATCCTTCTCCTCCTCATCGATCAAATAAGATTATGAGAAACCTCAATATTTAATTACTACATGCATAAAGACTTATAGTTAGGTAAAAGATGTGATTTAAATATATAGAAGAAAACAATTAAACTTTCTCAATATTTGTAGCCGTTGCCTTGTTCAATGTATCGAGAAATTTTTCTTGATTTTCTTCCCCTTTCCTTTTTCATTTGCAATTTTGACTATAAGTGAACTTTGTAATATAAATTCGTATGAACTTAATAATTATTCCTTCAAATTCAAATATAAATCATTTGTCAGGTCTTTTCTTAAAGGATAAAAATATTATTTGAGATTTAAAAGTAGTTGAAAACTCCATTAAAAAGAATTGAAAAAAAATGATTAATATATACTTTAAATTTTTAAATAAATCATTCATTTTGCACCCCACACACATATATATATAGTCAACAATTCATTTTATTGTATTGAACTAGATTGTAAACAATTCATTTTGTACTATTGCACTAGGGAGAGTACTTCATTTGCTAATAATAATGGTGTTTAAACTACTTTGTTGCATCTTAATTATTCGACTTAGGTAGGTGTTTTTTTTCAATAAATACATTATTAAGTAATTTTATCTACCAATATCATCTTTTTTTTAAAAAAAAAAAACTTAGGAATAAGGAATAGGAAAATGGGGAGAAAATTAAATAAAGCTTCCTCAATAAAATAAAAATTCAAACAACCACTCAATTGAATTATTAAAATTTCTGACTTAAATAAAAACTGAAATTAATTGCTCATTAACCATCGCTGAATATCATTTGCGAATTTTTTTTTTAAAATCAGAATTCTTTTAGTATGTTTTTTAAAAAAGTGTAAAGTTACGTATTTTCCGGGTAGAGTCGCTCTATTCATTCTCTATTTATACCAAACCAAATGTGAATGCTTAGACTTTATTTTTTTTTACGTAAAAGTGAATATCGATTAAAAATCTAAATTCCTGCTCCACCGTCCGACTGATACTTCTCTTGTTTCGATACATTTAAATTGTTTTAAAAATAAAGTAGCAATCAATGGGGCCTTGTGTTTTAAAACGAAAATTTCAACGGTCAACCTATAGGAAGTTTCTGTGACAGAGCAAATCTCATGTTCAACAATCAATACAAATTGAACTTTCACAATCTCTTCTAAACCAATATAGCTAGTTTTTGTTGATTAATGTTTAAACCAGAGATAAATTTTGAAGTTCCCCTACTTCCTATTGTTGGGGATGGCTTCTGTTTCCCTTATCTTGTTAACTTAACTGTGAAGAGGAAAATCTTGGGACTCTCACAACTAAATATCCATGTCTTGGATGATACTGGAACCTCTCTTCTCCAAGGGGATGGAAAACTTTGGCATCTTAGGAAGAAGAAAAGAATCATTGCTCATCCTGATGGTTTACCTCTCCTTACTCTCCGCGAAAAGGTATTAAACATATTATCTCTTTTTAATTTTCATTCTGAGTAGCAGAGTCAGAAATTTCACTAAAGATAGTCCAAAAAAGGGCTATAACACCTTATTATGTGAAGATTATGAAGAATCACTTTGTTTATTATTAACATTATTTTCCGAGGAAGAGTGTCCAATTGGACAACTTGACTATAACATAGCTATTCCACCCTGCTTGAGCTCATCTATGCTTCACCAGCACAAGTATCCAACAACTCTGCTCACCAATTAAGAATTTGTTGGTGCTTGTGAGATATCTGCGTCTCAGCATTGTATATTACTAGATTCATTTTTTTCACCACAGAAATTTTCACCTACTTTATTGACGGTTAGGCCACACCTTGAGTGCTGAGCACGGTGTTTTGTTCTTAGTAGCATCAAAGTAACTCAAAGAATGCATATTATGAAATTAAGAGTGATGTGGTTTGTTAAATATTTGAGTGCAGACACTTTCATGGCGTAATACGTGGAAAGTTTATCGTGCTGAGAGTTCAGACATAAACGATCTGCTCTACACAGTCAAAAGATCAAGCACATTCCAAATGAAAATGCAACTTGATGTGTTCTTGGCTAGCAATATCAATGGAGAGTTATGTGATTTCCATGTAAAGGGATCTTTCACCAATCAATCTTTCAAAGTTTACAAAGGGGACACTTTGATTGCTGAGGTAATTTAACTTCAAATCCCTGTTTGAGTGTCTTTCAAAGTGTATATAAATAAATAACTATATCAATTATGTAGGTGAAAGAGAGATTCAAACTTGGAAGTTTCTTCAAAGGAAGAGAGAATTTTGAAGTGAGAGTTTATCCTGGTGTGGATTATGCGTTTATTGTCTCAATATTGATAGTATATAATGAAATATACGGGGAATCATAGATACACTATGTAAATTGGCAGGTTTCTTTGCCTCTTTTCTCTTTAATGTATGTACAAGTGTGTAAAAACTCACATCATATACTTATAAAGGGAGTACTTTAGCCTTTTATGATGTTAATAAATAAATGGATAGGTTTTCCTTGTTGGGGTTCTACTTAAACAAGATGAGTGCATCCAGTTGTGAGTTCTTCTTTCTTCCTTATCATAAGTTATTGATCATCTTCAAGCTCTGGTATACTAAAAGAGATTAAGAATTAAGATATCCAGGACAAGAGAGGAGTGGTCACGATAAAGGACAAGATGCGGGAAGCGAGATTGAAATGGTTTATGTGCAGAGGAGATGCACGGATACTCTTGTGCGAGGGTGTGTGAAGGTTGACTATGGATGGTTTCAATGGATACTCTTACACTGAGATTATCGTTGTATCTTGTTATGACTACTACGATTTAGAATGATTTGTGCAAGTTGCCTTTAGTATTTGTTATTGCTGTCTTCATTTTCGTTATTTCTTTTTTCTATACTACTTTGTGTTGTTTTATCTTGACCTTAGAGTCTATAGAAAACAACTTTTTTACCTTACAGGTAAGGTTGCATACATTTTACCTCCTCCACGCCCTACTTAGTGGGATTAACACTGAATATGAGTTCTCAACTCTCGTTGCTTGAAGAAGCTAGTATTGTAAATTTTCTGGTCCAATTGATTTAGGAATATGACTAAATTTTGTATTCACAACGATATTATTGGAACTAGCAAATATTGCACAACAAAACACAAATAGAAATTGAAAATCCAAAAGGTCTAAGTAAGATGCATGGCATAAATTTATGAACTTTCTCCAGTAATCATATTGTAGATGTTGGCAGCGATAGTTATAACACTCGTCACAACAGCTAAAACAATCATGACTACCGCGATGATCCTGTCTTTTCTTGAAGATAAACCATGGACATCTCTGCCAAATAAGAAACAAAACGTTGATCAGTATAAAAACAGAAGAAAGAAAACCATTCACATTAATTAGTTAAAAAGTTGAGGGGATGAAAGAAAGACAGAGACCTTAGAGCAATTGCACCTGGAAATATGAAGGCGAGACAAACATTTGTAGTTGATCCCATGAACTGGTAAATGTACCATACTGATGGTATAGCAATGGCGACTATATATGAGATGGCTAACAATATCAGTGTAAGAAACATGAATCTTTTGGTGTCAGTTGCTAGTAATTCCTTCTTAGGGAATATAAGTTCGTCAATGTTGGCTCTCAGGGAGAAATTTAAGAGAGGAAATACCAGCATTAGGTGAAGTGCATAGCTCAAACGAACAATGTCATTTAGAATGGGACTGATTGTTATGGCACCAGAGGACGACGTATCAAAATTTACAAGTATATCTGCATTGATTGAATCTCCAAATAGAAGGTACCCGAAAATTCCAATTGAGGCATAGATGACTGAACAAACTACTAGTGAAATTTTAACAGCACTAGTCATAGCTCCAGGTATCCCCAGCTCAATTTCAATCGGATGGACTGCATTCGAGTTTTTAGTGTCAGTAAAGTCAACATCAAGATGACATAAAGATCAAGTATTTAACGGATGTAGCTTTTACCATTGAAGTGAAATGCAAAAGCTGTTACGATGACTGGGATGGCGGTGAAGAGATTAAAGAAGGAAGAAGTAGTATTCAACTCCGGCAGCATTCTTGGCTTTACTATTTGCCCTTTTACGATTGCAATGATTGCCATTACAGAACATATACCAACAAATACAACTGCTAGGATAATTGCTATTGCTGAACTGAGCCATAATGATTCTGCAATCACAAGCCATATAAACATAAACAATTAGCGACCATTTTAACTTGTGAAGAAAGGTCAAGAACAGAGGACAGAATGCACTGACCTACACGACGGTATAGGACTAGAGGAAGCACAACAAGCAAGACAGTGAGAAGGATCGATAGATAACGAGAATTCCACCAATGAATCCCAAACCATTCTTGAAGGACACCAAGGTGTTCCCCTTTTCCAGAAAAGACGTCTCCTGATCATAGAAATTAGGATTGTCGTCATACATAAGATATCCAAGTCCTGATACGATGTAAAGATGGATTTTGGGACTAACTGAGGGCTAAAAGCTAACTAATAAGTTGAGGATTGTCCAAGTCCATATAACGAGACTAACTGTACATCCTGTAAGAGGCATTAAAGAATGAAAGTTACCAATAATAATTAGGTACATGATCAAGCAACCAAGAGTAGTGATCATTACACAAATTTGTACTGCCAAAGAACCAATCTTTCCAAAGTTCTCTTTCATCAATCCAGCGTACGTAGTCGACTGGCCAGCATATGTTGCCCTCAACATGAAATTTACCGTTATGTCTACTAACAAAGCTACCAGAACAATCAAGACGAATGCGGGAACAACACCTAGGACCTTTAAAGTAGCTGGGATTGACATAATTCCTGCACCAATAATAGTAGTGGACACATTGAACACTGCCCTCCATATCACCCACCGGTTCTCCCTCGTTCGAGAGTTGTGATTCGAAAGCAGTGGAGCCTCCACCTCGGCGCTGGCTCGATCCATCCCCTGAGATTGAATCGCAAAAACTGCTACAATTCGACAAATAATATGGTCTGAGATGAGGGCATGCCGAAAAAGTAACAGTTGAGAGAGATATTTAAATGTTATAAGGAAACAAATAAGGACAAATGGCCTCACTTAATACAGCTAAATTGAATTTCATGGCACCAATAATCAACAAACACCATTGAGTCATATCATGTGACTTCGATTATATTTGGATAGATTTATTTTTAATATTTTTAAGTTGAACATTTTGATATTATTTCGATAAAATTAAAAAGTATATTTTAACTTAAAATAACAAAACTAAGTTAAAAGTCATAAATAACAAGCAATTGAAACAGACTCTTAGAGCCTGTTTGGCTCAGCTTAAAAGCTGGTCAAACTGACTTAAAAGCTGGT